CTGTCGTTGGGTACCACATGTCAAAGGACATTTCCATCCTGACAAAAGCTTTCATTAGGGAGACAGATCTTTTGCAAAAGGGAAGAAGACCAAGACATGGCGGGAAAGGAGGGGATGAAGAAAGAATTAAGATGTGTGATGTACATGTGCCATCTCCCCCCATGAACATAATCATTATATGCTGCAAACATGTACTAATAAAAACAAAAATTAAAAAAACGCTTCTGTTGAACACCACTGTTAGCAGTGGTCACAGTTCCATTACCCGGTTACAAAAATGTCCACCAGTTTCTCTTTCCCCCAATCCAGAATTATCGCTCATTAATATTTGACAGTGTGGTAAGTGAGAAGCAACATTCCTGTTATTTTTGTTGTTTTTTAGTGAAGTTACCAAAGTTTAGCTAATTCCATCCACCTTATTACATTTAATAAAATCATTGTCTTTCATGCCAGTTTTCTTTTGGGGAGCTGAGCGTTTAAGAAAGGTCGTGGTTTTAACCATCATATCATGCATGCTTAGCATAGCATTCTCAGGGAACAGGCTTGGGAAAAAATACCAGGCCAAATAACAGTGTTGTCCTCCTGTTATGTTCCAGACCTGTGCTATGCACAGTTTTTCACATGGGCCATGGCATTTGAGCACAGCAGCCTTGTGAAGTGGGTGTTGTTATTGTCCTCCTCTTCCAGTGGGAACATGGAGGCTGAGAAAGTTCAGTGATTTCCCCAGACTTACAGGGCTGGTGAGGATGACTCGAGCTTGGCCATCTGCAGGTGACTCCTGGCCTGTGCTGATGTCCTGTGTCTCCTTGTTCACGGCTTGTCCACACGTTATGCTCCTCGCCTCCTTGAGTTCATTACCCTGACTCCTGTGTATCAAGCATCCTAGTTGGACATTGAGGTTTTTTTCTTCTGGAAATTGCCCAGACATATTAGTTGACTAATGTTAGTAATAATTTTATTTTTTAAAATCATACTGTAGGAACAGTTTGTGTTTTACAGTTATTTACAGAAATAATTCACAAGGAAGCAATAGATATACTATATAGGGTGTTCTTCACTTGTTTATAATAAGAATTTGAATCAGTGTACATGTCAGACAATTGGGGATTAGTTTAATAAGTGATACAGTCAAATAGAGGAATACGCTGCAACCTTCGAAAGACCATGTGATGAAAATCACCCAACTAAGGGAAGTGTTTACATTTCTGATGAAAGGGGCAGCTGCTGCACTGTATACATAATGTAAATATGCTTCACTAAAAGAAAATACTTTTTTACTACATCTATGCAGGCATAGGGAAAAAAAAACTAGGTAGCTTCTGTTGCATAACCATAGTGATTAATATTTTGGGATATTGACATTACGAGTGATTTTTATTTTTGATGTGTGGATTTTTTACTGACAGGTTTTCTGCCTTGAACATACCTTACTTTATGCTTGGGGAAAGAAGAAAGATTGGCTATAGATATACACAGAGGGAAAAAAGTTGCAAGGTTTCCGGAATAAATTGTGTTTACTGTAGTATGTGTTTTCTGGACCTTTAGTGTAATATTGTGCTAGGCCTGAGGGAAGTGCAAAGAGAAAGCATCGTCTGTTTTAACAAATGTGGTATGATTAAATGTTCTCTGCGCATCAGGGCTTGTGCGCAGTGCCCAGGCACAGAATCTAGTGCTCACCTTCTAGGATCAAGCCATGCCTAAATAAAAGATGGTAAGTGACATGTCCAGGGACATAAGAGACGGATACAAAGTGCTGTTGTGTAATAGCTCAGGCGAGTTTCTGAGCAAGTTGAGGAGAATGATGGAATTTGTTTTGCGTTTTAAGGGGCAAAAGGAATGTGGGTTGGTGGAAAAGAAGGGTTGACCAGAGGAACTGTCAGGTATAAAGAGATGCTGAACTTTGTCTACTGTCTAACTAGAACAGAGCTTCCTATTTAGAGCTGCCTAATCTGGAGCTTAGGTTTCAGAGTGAATCTGTGAAACTTGAAACTATTCATAAAATATTGTGTATGAGGTATGAGCAGCATATACAGTGAATGTTTAAAATGTTACTACGTAAAAGACACCTTGCCATTAATCATCCTCAGAATCCTTCCCCTCCCGTCAAACGCACTTATCCTATCATTTTTGCCACTTTGTGAAGCAGTTCTGGAAGCCCCTGCTTCGTGAGTGTCCTTATGAGGTGTGATAAGAAGGACTGCAAATGCTGCTGACAAGTACCATCCGGCGGAAACGCAGCTTTGTGAAAACATGGTGTGTCCTCATCCACTTTATTCACCTGATCTGGCACCATGTGACTTCTGGTTCTTCCCCAAGTTAAAACCACCCTGAAAGGTAAATATTTTGAGTTGACTCAGGCACCCATAATACTGCAATTAAGGACACAAAAGTGAACTTCCAGCTCTGCTTCAGAAAGTAGCAAGAATGATGGGAAAAGTGTATTCAAAGCAAGAGCGAATATTTTGAGGGGATTCATGGAAGTGTGTTCTTCACCATAATAAGTTCATTTTAAAAAGGTGAGCACTCACTGTAATTTTTGAATATACCTCATATATGTGCTTTTTTCAGGTAGCAGTGCATAACTTTCATCAGATGCTGAAACAGGATTTTGCTTCCAGAAAAGATGGGAACCACAAAACTAGAAGAATAACGAGGAGTCTATCGGAGGGAGACAATGGAGGAATTTAAAGTTGCAGGAGGAAAAGAAAGCATCAGAGCATAATTTGTAGTCGCAGTTGTTGAGCAGTGCGAACTTCTATATGTTACGGTGGTCTACCTGAAAGATCTGGGAAACCTGGGTTTTCCCCCCTTGTTTTTGTCCTAATTTGGAAATACTTCTCTGGGACTCTCAAAGTTCTGTGAACTGTGATCTTCTGCCCCTCACTCACTTTCATGACATTGCTAGAGAGTAGTTTCTCGAGGTGTTACCTTTACAGAAAACAGTACAAATCTACCACTGTTCCTTACAGGAGCTTTCATGATTTGCAACTGGGCAGGGTCTGCTTGGAGCAAAAACCAAATTACATTTAAGGAGAAGATGGAGACCAATGTTGGGGCTGCAAAGAGGAGATTTTGTACTTCCGTTTTGAAAGTTGATAATTTGTTAATTTAAATAAGACCAAGTAGCCATTTTAAATAATGGCTGAGCTTTGGCCTCTTGCATAAGGACAGGCTGTATTCATTCAAAGCTACCACGCATATCTCAGACCACTGTGCTTGAGCTCCTTTGCCCGAGTTTTTTACTTTGGCCTCTTGCATAAGGACAGGCTGTATTCATTCAAAGCTACCACGCATATCTCAGACCACTGTGCTTGAGCTCCTTTGCCCGAGTTTTTTACTCCCAAGTTTTTCATAACGTGGCCACACCATGGAGAACATATGCTAAGTACCAGCATGGAACTCGATTTGAGAAAAGGGAAGACATGAAGAAAGAGTCAGGCTTGATGAAGAGGCAGGGGGAGGGTTGGAAAATATGAGTGAAATGGGTCTTCACTTTCCTTAAATCTGGCTTGAACAAAGATTGACAGGATAAGTGTGTTCCGAGCAGGTGGACTATCTAGATTTATAGCAATGTGTCTTACTGTAAATATTTTTATTTAAACTGTATTTTCTGATCATGCCTCATGTATTTTCAGGCTCTCAGAATACTTGAGGTATAGATGTAGCATTATGTCTTGCGTTTTTTGGGGGAAAATATTGTTGGAAGCTAAAAATTTAACCCATAGATGAATCACTTTTTAAGCCACTGGTTCGCCTTTCCCTTGCTCTGCTTAAGTCACCTCTGTGTCACCGCATTCAGCACAGCCGACTCCTACCCGGTACTCCTTGGCCTGGTTTCTTGTAGGGTCTGCTGCGACACCCAACACTCCGGCTTTCCTCGTCCCTCAGGAGGCTTGTGTTTATTTATTTCATCATTTATTTATGTATCTGTTATATGTGGGGTTGAACTCAGGGACTTCACACTGAGTTATATCTCCAGCCCTTTCATTTTACTTATTTTTAAATTTAGAGATGGAATCTCCGTAACTTGTTCTGGCTGGCCTCTCACACTCTTCCTGTCTCTGTGTCCTGGAGTGGTGTTACTGCACATGTGCACCACCATGCCTGGCTTGACATTTCTTCCTAATTTCTGTTGCCAGGTCTTTCTTATGTACTGTACCTGTATTTATTTATTTATTAACTATCTGTTTTTAAATGATTAAAAATTCACAGCAAGTTGCCAAAAATAGTATATGAGGACACAGGGATCTGGTTTTTTTCTGCGGTAGTTTTTTTCTTGTATGACTGTAGTGCAATATCAAAGGCAGGAAAACATCGGTACACTCTGCAGAACTTACTAAAATTTTATCACCTCTTCGTGAGCTTGTGTGTATTTGGTTCTGTGCAACTGTGAATCATGGACTGTATGTGTATTTACTTGTTAAAGAAACTTCCCAAACGTTTTTCAAAGTAGTTGTGCTGTTTTTACCTACAGTGAATTTAAACTTTGCTTGTGTCATTTCAAGTAGAAATTATGGGACAGGATGACATCCAATCTGGTCACCCATATGCTATTGGTAGAACTCTGGGATGTCATTTCCATAATTTTAAAGAAGAAAAATATTAAGAAAGTAGAATTTTAACAAGTGAAAGAATTCTAATGAAACCTTTTAAAATATGATTTATTTTCACACCTCTTTGTAACTGTGTCTACTGTCTCTGAGAGGAGGTGGCCCTGGCATTTAAGAATGATGGTCAGTGATCGTCCTTCCAGTGAGAAGAACTCAGAGGCTCAGGACCTGTGAAGGCATTTTACTCTGGAGATTTTCATAATGTGGCTACACCATGGAGAACATATGCTAAGTACTAGAATGGAACTTGATTTGAGAAAAGAGAAGGCACAGCCACGTTTCTTTGACCCTGATTCTCATGCACATCCTGTTTGTGCCGCATCTATTTCTTTTCTGTGGCCTCTTCAAGTGTTGAGTGTTACATCTCAGATTTTCCGCTTTGTCTTTCAGGCCAAAGAAGCTCTCAAAAATACTGAAGTTCCTGTTGGCTGCCTTATGGTTTACAACAATGAAGTCGTGGGGAAGGGAAGAAATGAAGTTAATCAAACGAAAAATGTATGGGAGCTGAATGGTACAATTGCAAACGCGCCGTAGGGACAGCAAGAAGATGAGACTTGAGTGCGGTGCCGCATTCTTTGGTGCTGTTTTGTTCTGATTGTAACAGTGAGAGAATAATTGGTTTTAGATGCGGAAACTTCAGAAAAATTTAACGAAGCCGTAGAATTGTAGTGAATAATTTTTATAGCACACCTGCTTGTTCTTCAGCAGTAAACAAAGCAGTGGAATGAGGTGATGCAGTTCAGTTGTTTGTTGAGAGCTATGGGGAGATACGATTCAGGAATTGTGAATCTGAATTTTGAAAGACATTCCACTTAGGGAAACTTTTCGGTAAGCTCTCCAGTGGGCTTCAGTGCGCAGCCAGGACTGGCGCCCCTCTCTGATGTGACCATCTCTGAGTTTCTAAGTCTGATTGACCAAACCACCCCCGTCCAGCTCTGCTGCCACATGGCTTCCCTGGCGGCTTGGGCCATAGTGCTGTTGCTTTTCACATCACACCCTAGACTGTAGGTGAATTAGCCGCCTTCCAGTACTGGGACAAAATACCTGACACCCGAAGCTCAAAGGGGCTGAGCTTTATTTTGGCTCAGTTTCAGTTCTGTTCAGCAGGTCCTGGGCAGAAATGGTGCAGTGGAAGGGCCTGGCAGAGGAAAGCTCCTCAACCTGCGGCCATCAGGAAGCAGAAAGAAAAGGGAAGCTGGGGACAGGAATGCTCCCTTCCAGGTGGTGCCCTCGGGGACCTGTCTTTTCCAGCCAGGCCCCACCTTCTAACAGCACCTTCCCCTACTGACTCAGAGGATGAGCTACTGATGAATACTGCGCCTCCATGAGCCAGTCAGCTTCCAAGCCCCCGAGGCTTTTGGGGGGCATTCTAGAGCTAAACCATAGCAATAGGTAAACAAGCACCTCTCTTGGCTGCACCAGTTTTGTTTTGTTTCTTCTTTTTTTTTTTTTTTTTTTTGCTTGTTGAGGGCAGAAGCTTTTCATCCTACCCAGAATTTGTTTAGCACAGTGACTTACACGTAATTAGCACTCAGTGTAAGTTATTGGTAAATGCTGCAGTAATGGATATTGTAAACAACTGCTGCATAGAAGGAGGGGCAGGGAGGAGAGGTAGCAGCACTATGCGGCACTGTGCTTCATGTGATTCCAGTTGTCTTGAGGTGTAGAGGGGGAGATCCGAGGGCACCTCATTTTGCAGATGGGAAAACAAGGCTTCAAGGAGTTAGATAATTTGCCCAGCACCTCATAATGAGTATTGTCCCTGTCAGGATTGAAATTTAAACGTGATTGATTTCACAGGCTGATTTCTCCTCTGGCGTAGTGACTCCCATGAGGTATCTGAGACAATGTACGAACTCTCTGCTTCTCTAGAGCTTGCCAGCATATAGAAAACGTTCTTTCCCCCAGTCAACTAAATATAGTTTGCTTAGAGTGAGGTCAGTGACAGCCTTGAAAAGTATATTTGAAACTAGAGCACAAGCTTATGAAAATTTCAAGCTTCCCCTAAAATATTCAGAAACCCTAGATATTTTTTTTTTTTGAGACTTATCTTCTTCATGGTATTTTAATTGAAAGTTGCTCGTGAGCTCCTTAGAAATGTAACTAAAAATACAGCAGGATTTATACAGCATCTTGGGGTGTCTTCTAGGGGTGAGGTGATGATACTTGAACTGGGGAGTAAATAACCTGTCAACTGCTGAGGGTCTCCTGAAGCCTCATTCATTAAAATGTTGCAGAAGCGATAGGCGTGTCTTTGTGTATTTATGTTTGTATATTTGTAAAATATCAGTTATATGAGGCAAATGATTGATGCAGGCCTCTCTCTTTGAAGGCCACTCGACATGCAGAAATGGTGGCCATCGATCAGGTCCTAGACTGGTGTCACCAAAACGACCAGAGTCCCTCTGCCGTCTTCGAGCACACTGTGTTGTATGTCACTGTGGAGCCATGCATTATGTGTGCAGCTGCTCTCCGCCTGATGAGTATCCTTTGACTTTGTAAGTTCAAGCCTTGTACCTTCCCTGTGAACAAGAAACTGGCCACATGCATAGCATGTTTTCTGTTCTTTTTTTGGCTGTGGCACCTAATCCAGGGCTTTGCCACATACACTAAGCCCACTCTGCACCACTGAACTACACCCAGCGGCTTTCTAGTATATGAAAGCACAAACTTTGGAATCACATTAAAAAATATAGCTTGACCAAAAAAGGAAAGATTTTACATAATGAAATTGCTGGTGTTTTGTCACTAAACATAGAATTGTTAAATAAGCTAAGGAAAGAAAAGCTTCACATTAACTTAAACTGATGTATAAGAGTAAATCATGAATTAAGTTAAAGTAGATTACAAGAAAAGTTCTAAAACATGTCCCGCAATTTTGCCTTTGGATGATGAATTATGGGTGATTTTAAGTGTTCCGTGTTTATTTCTGTTTTTTCTATGAACACCTACCACAAAGTCTTAAAAAGTTTAAGTCAAAAGTAAATAAGTTAAAGACATTCTTCATGGTATCATAATTGCATATAAGTGGCAAATTAAAGCTCTAGCTCTTTGGATTGTGTCTTACAAAGAATAAGCAACTAAACAGTGGGTGTACTCTAAAGAGAAAATTAAAAAACTCCATTTCATACTTGTATTTTAATGTACATTTAAAACTATGTATGTACAAATAATTATATCACTTTAAAACTAACTCAGAGGTTTTTGAGTGCAATGAAATACATACTCCAAAGAAGAGTTTTTGGCAACTTACCGTTTCTTCCTCATTCTGCCTTTTGGGGTTCCTTAGCTTTATTCTGTTTTGTACTGGAGCACAGGTTAAATTGTATGTAGGGTGGGAACAGGGTGCACTCTGTTACTTCTAGAAGGTAAAAGTCCCTGGATTAGATTTCTTCCTCCTGTCTGGCTCGCGTTCTCCAGTGATTCTGAAAGAGCGATTTAGGAAAGAGCAGAGAGCACCCTGAACTGTGAGCATGAAGTGGCTGCACACTCATTTTTCATTCTTTGTGCAACTGTTCCAGGGGAACTTCTAAACACTTTAAACCTCTTTCTTTTGTATAACCGGATTGTATGATTTTGAAGACTGATCCCAAACTTTGTTTTGAAGTGTGGCCTGAGCTTTCCTCTCCAGCATGGCTATAGCAACCCACCCTGATTTTGCCACCGTACTGCGAATCCTATAGGACCTTAATTCTGTCTTATAAATCCCATTGGTCATCTACGGCTGTCAGAATGAACGATTTGGTGGGTGTGGCTCTGTTCTAGACATTGCTTCTGCTGACTTACCGAATACTGGGAGACCATTTCAGGTAATATAATTTGCTTACACTTTTTCTTCTGATCACGTTCATCTCACTGTGGGCTTGTGAATAGGGTGGGCTCAGAATTCCAAGAAGTTAGGATGGAACCTGCTGGGACGCCAGGACTCCAGATTGAGTGTCTCTATGGCTCTGTGGAGGACAGCAGGTAATAGTTTCTAATGAGTGGTTCCTCTCTTCGGCTACAAAAGCTCTTCTGAGGGAGCATCGCTGCCTTCTAACGATCTTCAGCATCGCTTTCTGTCATTGTTACACCGAGCTGGGTTAAGCTTGGTCCCTATAGTGAGCACATTCTTTTTGTACAAATTCAGTGATTTCACTGGATTGCCACGTACCTTATTAGTGTCCAGCAACTATTCTAACTTTATTTTTTGTCTGCCTTTTGAAAAATGTTGAAATTTCCCCCTAGCTAAAAATCACACCTCTTTCATCTCATAGAAATTCCACATTCCTTCTACATTTGTACATCTTCCAAGTTTTTATGGTTACGAGTGTAAGCCCTGGGAATCTCTATATCAGTGTTTGGTTTAGGATGGGCAGTTTTTCTACACTGGTTCAATTTTGCTCTCCAAATAGGAAGGTTAACCCAGAGGCATTATAACTCTAAAAAGAAAAAAAAAATTATCAAATGCTGGACCTCATGGATCCCACTATTCATAGACTGTGGTAAGGACGTATGAAAGGCTGGATTTTGCTCAATCCCACTGAGAACACGTTTTATAAAATGTTCTGTTAAGAATTTTCTCTGCATATTGGCTTGACAAACAAATGCTTTCCATTTAAGAATAGATGCCTTTAACATCGCATCAGACAGGAATCACAGTGGGTTGGTAGAGTTCATGATACAATTAGCTTGATCATGAAATCCATCTACAAAGAGATTTGATTTTCCCAGTCGCTTGTAGGAGTAGCTCAAACTTTGTTTATATAACTCTTTGCACATGAATTGCTGAGTCCATACAAGGCTTCCCTTATGAAAATCATGTAAAGAATTTGTCAGTTTCTGGGCAGAACAAAGGTGAGCAAGCCCTTGACTGTCAGACATGGGTGGAACACTTCTCTGAAACGTTGGTGACATGAGGGCCCACACACAGGCCTTTCTCAGACATCTCTGCCCAAAGTAGATCTGGCTGAATCCAAACAACATTCAGGTGCAATTCATGCCCCACACATCACGGGCTCAGTGGACAGTGAATGCCCACAGCTTCAAGCCATAGCTCTAGGTTTGACACCAAATTATGTTTTTCAGGGCATTTTGTGATTGTAAGGAAATCATATACAGGCTTCTACATTTTGTATTTTCTTCCTTTGTGTGGGCTCAGAGGATAGGGAAGAATAGGGAGGTGAGATGTCTTATTCTCGAATTACATATTCTTCTAATACTATATTATAAGCGGCATGAAAGTTCCTAGAGGAGACCTATAACCCTATTCTTGTGAAAGAAGATAGTGTTTCATTTATAATGCCTGCTTTGCTTAGTTTTTTATTTCATTAAGAATGCATGCTTTTTATTAAAACTAAAATGGTAGTTATAAAGGATACGTGAAAATATTATCTTGTATTTTAGAGCAATACGGTTTCCTTCCCTACCTGTAACTCAGCGGTTCGCCTCTCTGACTGCATATTAGAAGTTTTGTGCTTCCCTGTGCTCCGTCTCTGCCCTAGGCCAGTGGATAGGGCAGGGGACAAACACTACTGTTTGTAGAGAGCTCCCAGCTGAGTGGGGGAACCATTGCTGTAGCTGCACATAGCAGGAGAGGGCTTCGTATGTGAGTGTGGGTACTCACCAGAGCACGGGTAGCCATGAGGGGCACCACTACACACTCACAAGAAGCGCAGGGCAGCAGCAAAGGGACTAACAGTGAGTGAGCAGTGACACAGCGAGAAGCTGTGGGAGCAGGGAGTTCTGAGCAGATGTGCCTGGGCTGCAGGACTCCGGAGAGTGAAGGAGGTGGAACAGCCGGTGTTTTAGTCGCTCAGTGTCTTTACCACAGAGGGCAGCTTCGCAGGAGTCTTGAGACAGAGAGTCAGCGAGGCTGGGGTTGAGGAGGGAATGAGAACCAAAGTGGGGTCTTGCCAGAGGCAGGGTGGAAGGAAGCTTATTGTTACCATGGGGAGGTTTGAGAAGGCTTCGTATGGTCCAGGCAGGAGCAGACAGATGTGTGGGAGCTGGCAGGCCCCTTCCTCCCTGGTACCTGGCACGGAGGACAGGCACATCCTTTCCCACTCCTCCGAAGGGCGTGTTGTGTCAGTTCCAGAGCCCATCTCTTTAATTCTTTCCTCATGTTCCCTTAGTACTCGTCCTCCACCCCACCACCCGTCAGCCTGTGTGCCCCACACGCCTCTGCTTCTCCTTCCCGGAAACGCACTGCTGACCCTCTGTAAATGTTCTCTGAGTCCGGCTTTCATCTTCTCCATGTACTGTTTCTTGTAATATCATTCCTTCCTGATACCGCCATTGCTTACTTATTCTTTCATAGGTTTTGCTGTGTTCTCTCTTGGATTCCAGAGACAGTACAAACTACACACTTTTTAAAAAGTTCTTTATAGCAAAAATGGACAAACTTTTCTGGTAAAGGACTGGTCAGTATTTTCACCTTTGTGAGGCACTTATCTCAGTGTCTTACTGTCTTTTTTAACCCTTTAAAAATATAAAAGCCACTCTTAGCTCCCCGCTCCTAGCAGTGGACAGGATTTGCTCCATCAAGTATAGTTTGTCAACCCCTGCTTGGATGCCTCAAACGCTTAATGGGCCACCAGTAAATATTAGCAGAGAAAAATGGGTAATGTGTATCAGCACCTGTGATGTGCCAGGTGCATGATTGGTATTATTTCATTGAATCATCACAGCATCCCTCTGAGGTCAGCACTGCATCGTACGTATACGGCATAGAGGGTTTATGCACCTTGCCCAAGATTACATAGCCGATCACTTCAGTAGTAGTTGATTGAGAGTGATGTTTCCCTGAGGCCGAAAGTCTGCCCTTTTGGAAATGTACTTTATCCACAGTAATATCCCCAAAGCAGTTAACAGGATCTGAAATCTGTTTACGTAACTTTATATGTATCACTGTGTTTATGGATTCTGCACACATTTTCATAGGTCTGCGTGCATTCTTCCCTTTCTCCTTTCATTAGTGCATTCCTGGATATCGGGCTGAGGAAGCCGTGGAGCTGTTGAAGACCTTCTACAAACAGGAGAATCCAAACGGTCAGTTTTCCCCTGCTGCATATAACGGACCTCCCTTAGTACATGTCAGTATGAGCAGAAACTGACATGAGTCTGCATCTTCATTTATTCTTTCCTTTTTTTTTTTCTTTTCATAGCACCAAAATCAAAAGTTCGGAAAAAGGACTATCAGAAACCCTGAACTTGTCTGATCAAAGACTAATGTCTCAAAGTGACCCGGACAAAATTCCTGGACTGAAAGCTGTTGACATCGATGAATCATATGTTTATGTGTTGTTACTCTGTGGGTAAATGGTGTCTCTCATCATTTGCTCTGTTAAGGGAACAAATTAGCACTTCTTAAAAGTCTGACAGTTGTAAACAACTATTAGCTTTTCCCCAAGCTGAAAGCACATTTTCAGAAGGGGAAAAATTAAGGTTTGAGGTTTCAGAAATTAGAAACAGTGCATGCCCCTCAGCCACAGCTGTGTGCCCCGTCCAGGAAAGTGCTGGCTTTTCAGGGGATATGTGTCCAGATCCATTACCCTCATGTGTCTGGACAGAGCGTGCAGACACTTTCTCTAGGACTGGCCTTTCGGAGTGGGAGCCTCGGTTTTTACAGCTCCATGTTCCTGCAGGATACTGGGGGCCTGGCTTCTTTCTAGGTTTTATATGAGTTGTATACACACGACCATGATTGCATGGTCCTTGGCACAGATCTTTTGCTTTTATAAAGTATTGAAGAAAATTAGTACTTTTAAAACAAGTGCTTATGGGTCATTTTTTAATTGTAGCATATTGCTATAATAAAGCCCTATTTATGCTTCTTTGAAGAGGAACAGTCTTAAAGAGATAAAGGCATAAGTGGAATAATTCCTTATTATTGAGCAATTATTTTGTGTCAGGGGCCCTTTGTACCCTGGAACAAAGGAAAGGATCCTGCCTGTCCTCGTGGAGCTTGTCTCCCAGCCATGGGGGACAGATGATCTTAGTTGATAGTACAGTTTGCTGGAAAGTGCTAGTAGTTACAGCAAAAAGGAGAAGGTGGCCTGGGGTGAAGGAGACGGGGGTGCCAATTGGTGGTAGGAATGCCCCTTGGCGGAATAGCATGATCAGTTTGATCTGAAATTAAATATTCACTTGAAAATGCAGATAATAAGCTTTAGATTTAGTAGCTAAAATTTGAAACTGTGAATGCAACACAGGAAAAGTGATCCATAGCCAAATCGTCTGACCTCGAGGCACTGATTGCAGCACGCGGTCACGGGTGCAAAGGGCCACTGCAGAGCTGCACTGTGCGTCTCTGCCCAGGAGGGGGCCTCGCTGTTCCACCAGAAGCCCAGGGCCGGGCCCTGGCAGGCAGAGCAGAGTCCTTTCTCAGTTGCCTTTCTTCAGTGGATTCGTTTTCTTGATGCAAAGCATCTGTATTTGTTGATTCTGCCATTTGAGCGATGTCTCTGACTTGTTTGTTTTGAATTACATTACAGGCTGGAATGTAATTGTGGAAGTATTTTTATATCGCTGAGAGTAGCAGCTAATCACAGTTAACATGGTTCAGAGGATTTATAATTGCTCAGTTTTGTAAGCGTGCATTTTAACTGCATTTGCAGAGTTTTATGGAGAAGAATATGCATGATTTTAAGTCTACAATAATGTTGCACGCACCTTCTCCAGTTTTTCCTATTTTGAAAACCGTCTTCTCATTAAATTTTAGTGCCTTGACTAGTTCGTTCTTCCTTGCAGTTGGCTATAACTCACTCTGGATCCTTATGCTGTCCTGCAGACTGACTCCTCTGCATTTGTTGTCTTCAAATCGCTTTCTTGGGAATTCTTTGGAGGGCAAACAGCTTGGTCCTCTGGAGGGTATACTCAGTCTGGTGGAGCACTGTGTGCCAGTGGGTTCTTGGTGAACATGTGTCAAATAAAATTATTGGTTGAAATTTGGGGAAAAATGAATAAAAAGACTAAGATAAAAACACAAAGCCAAAAGTAGTATCGGAGTATTTTATCCCAGAAGTAGTCACTACTGAAAGAATCAAAATAAAGCAAGAAACAAGGAAGAAAAGACATTGCAGTAAACACATGCCCTGTGTTTGGAGGATGAGTAAGGAGTGTTTCCTGATCCCTAAGCAATGGCTGAATAGTTTAATCTCAGTTTACCACATTTTAAATCTTCTCTCCAGTGTCTGACTTATAGAAAAGTCTATAGTAAAATTTTGGACATAGATATAGTTCCTTCAATCCCTTTGGGGGGATCAGTTTAGATGATATCTTGCAGACTAGAGGTCAACGCCTCCATTGCACGCCCACTGTGGACATCAGAGACTAAGTCTGCAGAATTTAGGCAACAGCGTGGAGAAGGACATTCTTTAGTTACTATTTTGTGTATTGCCTGAGGCCTGACCAAGCCATGATTGCTGGGTTCTGGAGGAAGTCTAGCATAAGCATTGTAAACCCCAGGATCAATACTAGATGCTTTGCTGGGATATGGGCGAAGGAAGATAACATGATGACTTACAGGTCAGGTTGCATTCCTATGATAATAGAGTTGTATTGCCCTTGCTAAAACAATTGATATCCTCCGATTCCTCTGCTGCCTCCTGGGTTGATTCTGAATAAAAAGTTACGGAAGACGGTAATCAGGAGTCAGTCAGTCCTAGAGGCTGCTAGCACCTGATCACAGGATTTTGCCTCTCTTGGTTTGATTTATTCTTACTTTTCTTATACATCTGTGGGCACCTAGTTTGGGGGATGTGTTCACCCCAGACAGAGCTGGATGAGAAGTCCGACACAACAGTTTTCCCAGGAATTGCCCTCCATAATGAGGTGATCTTGCTACTGCATTCTCCAATTTAAAATGTTAAGATGTCCCAGCTCAAATTCTTGGTTTCAGTTGATTGACACTGGTAGTCCTTCTCTTAAGAAACCACCTAAGAATCCTGCCTTGTGTATGAGACCCTTCTGAAAGTTGTGGCGCACAAGAAGTTTTAGAGGCACTGCCCTGTTAAGAGAAACGAGGGAGAAATGATTACATCTGAACTGCCAAGTAGCCAGTGTTTGCTGGTTTTTGTAACCAGCCTTGCTGAGAATGGGTGGTAAGTCACCCAGGCAGGCTTCAGTCTCTGCTAAAGGGTCATGTTAAGTATCCTCGTGCTTGTTTGTTATTTGGCCAAGCCTCTCTTTCGGTGTTGTATCTGGAATATTATGGAGAGAAAATAGCCAAGAACTCCAGTGTAGGCAAGATCTGTTAATTTTTCTTCAAACTTTACACGTGGAAAGTTACATACACCACGACCCTTTACCCTAAAGAACTTTGGTATTGGATAAGCGCAGGATAGTCTCTTACATAATCACTGTATAGTTGTATAGTTAATGATTTCAGTAAATCTTGTATACTTTAGTCTACCTTTTTTTTTTGTCATCCCTTCGAGACAGAGTCACACTATTGTTCAGGCTGGCCTCAAACTCTCATCAGTACTCCAGTTTTGTCACCTGTTCCAAATACGCCCATTGGAGAATTTCCTGCACCTCCCTACAGTGTCAGATTCATCCTAGGGTTAAGTGTTGCACTGAGTTAACTTTGTATCTTCAGCTACTTTTTTCTTTTTTAAGCTTCTTTCAATCAAAATTTCCACAGCCTTCCGTTGTCCTTTATTACATTATTTTATTTTGTCTTTGTTTGTTCATTTGTTTATTTATTTTGCTGTGCTGGAGATTGAACCCAGGGCTTCAGCCATACTAATCATGTGCTCTGTCACTGAAGTACTACGCCTGGTATCACACTGATATTTTTTTAGTAACAATCCTTGTGCCTCAGCTGCCACCATTGCTTTTTTGATCCTACCATTTTGTCATGGTCTTCTAAATAATAGAATAGTCCTGGTTTTAAACTTACTTGGTGATTCTGTATTATTACAGTCAGGCTGTGCATACTAGGTGACATTACACTCCTCTCAGAGTGTCACATCTGGAGGCACACAAAGGCCATTTGACTGCACAGGTGATACTAATTTTCGCCACCTGGTCAAGATGTCAGGTTGATTCACTATAATTTTTTTTTTCTTCTCCATTGTAATAAATAGTCTTGCGGGAGAGGAACTAACTGTTCATTTCTGTTACATTTCTTAAAATGTCTTTGACACTGATGGAACGGAGGGAAGGAAAATGAATGATATAAATTTAAAAGCAGTCATTTTCCCCCTTTCACTGTCAAAATTCACAAAAAGTTTTTTCTAACAATGTTTTAAAGAGCACTCTCTTAGTAAAAGCTACAATAAGTCCTTTCTTGTCTTCTCAGCAAAATAATCATTATAAATCTCCTTATAACTGATAGGATTTCAAAAAAATAGATCCAAGATATGTCTGAGATCACAGATGGCCCGTGGTGATTCAATAGGATACAGAACTTGTGGCCATAAAATACAAGTTTTCTTGGGTTTCCATAGAGACATCCAGACTTAAAATGTTTTAAGCAGTGCTACTTGAGTATCAGTAAAAATAGCAAAAGCCAAGGCTCTTTTTTAAAAAAATCACTTTATTATTCTTTTAAAGTAGTGTAGATTTCCGGTTAAAAATCCCTGGTGAAGCCAAAGCTTGTCCTTCCTGGTCATTCCACAGGCACTGGCCTTGAGGAGCCTCAGGGAAAAGAGGCGTACCAATTGGTTTCCCTGCCTTTTGGCAAGGTATTGAGACGCAAGGACTTCATCTGTGAAGACAACTGCCAGCTATTTCCTTACTTCATAAATTGCTAATTGTGTGTAGTGAGGAAAGGAGTGATGAGCCACGTTATTTTTATGGGTAATACTGGCATAAGTTTACAGTGAAAGTTTGACATCTTTAGGATCCCTTGTTTTTTCAAGTTGAGCAAACAAAAGCAGGCTCATGTGAGTAATTCTCACCCAATTTTGAAGTGCATTTTTACCAGACTAAGCACCATGTGTCCGTGGCTAGGGAGGAGGCTGTATCTGGTTTGAGGAAGGCTCTCTCCCGGACCTTACTTCAGTCAGGCTCGGGCCCCTCTAAACCAAGCCTCAACCTTGGCCTGCACCTCCCAGGGCCTGCGCAGCCCACTTTACCAGGTCTCCTGTTGTCCACGTCATCAGTATTGGACCTGGCTTCTCACCGCCTCTGAGGTGTAGGCCTCTGGCCTGCTGCCTTCAGCAAGAATCCTTAGTTGACAGAGCAAGTGCTCCCCAATCTTTATGTCTCCTCTTTCCACAGCTGACCGCACATCCTGCTTGTTGGTTATGGATCCCCTCTTGTTTCTGTATTTGGGGTTGAGCCCAATCTCTCTCCCCAAGACAGTCTTCCTTAAGTTTCCACAAGTGTCACAGAATTTTTTCCCCCACAAGTTAAAGCATGAACCCATGAACCTAGAGAGAAATCCATCAAGTGTGGCCTGTGGGCCAAACCCAGCCTCATCCCTCTTTGTATCCAACTCATGTGTTAAACATGCTTTACATTTCTAAATAGGTGGAAAAAATAATACTTAGTGACCCAGAACCCTAGATGGAAATAAAATTTCAGTGTCCGTAAACAGAATAATACAGAATTACTGCGGACCCTTTTGTTTCTGCATTGCCTGTGGCTGGCTGGGCTACAGTGGCAGAGGAGCAGTGACAGCCATGCCGTTCAAAGCCTAAAATGCGTCATGTCTGGTCCATAAGAAAACTTTTGCTGCCCTCTGATCTAAAGAGAGGAAAATGGTGAGATTGGGTCTCGTAGGTGCTCTTTCAAATTCTGTGACTTTGCAACTGCATAATGTAACGCATTGTGCAGTTTGGCTTCAGTAGCAAGATTTTTAAAAAGTTGGTTTATAAATATGGAGAAGAGATGCAAGACTGTAAAATATTCTGGCTGGGGATATTTTATATACATTTTAAAAGCGTGGCAGAGAGAAAAAGAAACTTGCCATTTTATTTTGTTTTAGAATAAATGATGCATTTTATTAAAAGCATCATCAGATACTGGTCATCATTCCAGTTACTATGTCAGAAATATCTTGGACTCCTTTAAAAACCAGAATGTGACAGAAACCTCCATCCCATCTTTCTCACTGTGCCTTCCTCAGTTTTCTCTGCAGCGGGTTTGATCACCTTCAAGGCTAGGATCTCATACACTGGGTTTAGGGGGAAAGACAGAAAGAAAACACGTAGGCATTTAATGTTTTTACCTCTAGCACCGAGTTCAGGACAAATCTTTAATAGGTAGGATAGGCAAATGCTATGTGTGAATTCTAAAGTGCGTGGTAAGGAAGTAAGGTTTGGGAAGGTTGGTGAGAGGGAAGGGGAAGCATATGCAGGTCAGAGCAGTGGGAAGGCGATGATATGAAGACAGGTAGGGGCTGCTGGGGCCCAGCTGCAATGAACACGCTTGTTTTTTTCAGAGGAGGGTGGGTCTTCATGTTTGCTGTGTGGCCTGGTGGAGGAGGGACAGGGACAAAGCTCCTGATGCCCCAGTCACTGACATAAGGAGGCTGGGATTCCGCATGACCAGCAAGGCTTGAGCCACAGAAAAGGAGCGTCAGCAACAGAACCTAATATTTACCGAGAACTTGCTACTGCCAAGCCCTACTGGTGTGTCTCACTGATCCTCATAACTACCCTCGGAGTAAGAACTGTTTTCTTCATTTTCTGTCAAGGAAACTGAGACACAGGGAGATGAACTTTCTTGCTCAGGGTCACAGAGTATGGATCGATGGTCTTGGGATGGAATAAGTTATGCCGCCATAACAATTCTCAACTTTTAGTGGCTTTGACCAAAGGTTTATTCCTCATGATTTATCCCTAGTTTGTCTCAGGTCAAGCCAGAGGCTTGGGCTAAAAGAACCTCTACCTGGAACATCAGTTACTGCTGGAGAAGAATATGGCAAATAATGCTCTACTCCTGGGGCAGGACTTCCTAAAGGTAAATACGCATATGAGTCTTCTGGGGGGGGTGTTGTTGATTAAAGAGGAATTCTAAGTCAAGAGGGCCGGAGATG